GCATGAATCTTCCAGTAAAGCCAATCGACAGCTGGTCAAGAGGAATCCGCCGTCGTCTTCTGGTGGGACCAACCTTCGAATCTCTTCACCCAACACTTTCACTCGAAATGGAAGTAAGCTCAACAACAGGTATTTTCAGACTCAGGTTTTTAAGCTCGACTATTATCAACAAGGCCATTACAATCGGTGGCAAAACTACATGCCAAATAAATATATTTTTCGTATACAAGTAGAGTTTCGAGACACTAATTTTTTAGATCTCGAACTAGAACATGAATCAACTAATATCAGCTTTTTCAAGATAAACTTATAGTTTTAAAACCTATGCCTTTGATAGATGTTAATGAAGTCGATTTTTATAGCGAAAAAAAGTTTGACTTACAGTAAAAGTAAATGGAAAGATGCCTAGTATGCCTTGTAAATCACGCTTGCACTATGACCCACATTCATCATTGGCAATGTAGCTTAGGGACAAATTGTAGCCAAGCCACGCACACAACCTGGTTTTAAAAGGCGTTGGAGACGAAGCTGTTAAGGCCTCTTTTTGGTGGCGGTCTCATTTCGATCTGGTCTGACTTAGTTTTAGCAACTTTGTCATTTTAATAGGGCGACTAAAACGCGCCTAGTCCGAAGTAGTCTGCCACAGTATTTATGCAAAGAAATGTTGGGTTTTGAGGAATCACTTGTTTTATAATTATTGAGCCTATTTCCACTTCGAGTGAAAGAGCTTGATGAAGAAATTCGAAAGTCGAGCCCACCAGAAGACGACAGCAGATTCCTCTTGACCAGCTGTGGATTATCTTTACTGGAACATATTTGCTGATGCTGTTTACGAGGTAAACTCCTTCAATTCAGGTGAAAAGGTGCTAAGATTTCGCCTGTAATCGGAGACACGTCTGGTTATGGTTATGAGCCTTTTTTGTCTTGAAATGAGATAGAAAAAGGGAGCTAAAAATACCCAGAAGTGAGCGTGATTAGGAAGATGATAATGAAAGATTAGTTGAGACGCCTCCTGTTTTTGGACAGCTCAACACCCCCTATATCAATGAACCAAATAAGAAGACAAAAGAAGTTTTATGATATGTGTTTACCATATTTCGTTTAAGATGATGAAGGACTGGTAGGTGAATTTTTCCACAATGCTATGAGTAGAGCTAGCGTTTCCATTTAATTTCATATAGCCTTGCTTGCCTAAAAGG